TTATAAAAATATAATATATATATATATATATATATATATATTTTGTGTTGTAAAAAAACAAGTGAATTGACAGTACTTATGGTACATATAATTAAATGACCATAACTTTATCCTCTATGTGTGTTAGTTGGACAACATTGCCTTTATCTAGGGCCAATGGAACAACCGATTCCAATTGATTTTGCCACTTTCTATTATTGGGACATATTTTCTCAACCCTACTTTATTATGATGGCTGTTGTTGACTTAGTGATTCTCATCGAGAAGCTCAGTTATAACAACGTTCTCACCTTGTTCATTCAATATGATAGGGTTTGGTCTATTGTTTATTCTAATTAATTACTATCATCAGGCCAAGTTGTAGGAGAAACAGCATTAGCCAAAACCCACAATATTTTCCATTATGTAAAATGATGTTGCTTACTTTTTTCCACTGACTGCGGAAAGCATTTGACTTTTACCAATGTTTCACGTCTCAATAATCAATGGTCGGGGAAGAATTTTGATAAACAACAACGAATTTGATTATTAAGTAGTTGCATACCGCTATTAATTGATAATGAATGTTTCATGCTGGTCACAAAGAGGTTGGAGGGGTTGGTGCATAATAGATTGGAAAAGGGAAGCATACTATTCATTATGTGAAAACTTCAAAGGCATTAACAAGAACTAATAAATGTTTTCACGTTAGAACTTTACCATGTATGGGAAGTTTATGAAAAATATCAAAACAAAAAACATATTAATACGCCCAATATGATCAACTTCATTATTATATGGGGAAAAAAGTTAGGGTAAAATACGGTTTAGGGTAAAATTTTTTAAATTCCCTTTTATATCATGTTTGGTTTAGATGAAAAATAAAATAAAAAAGAGAGTAAAGAAAAGATCGTAATATTTTTTGTTACTAGGTTTGGTTTGGTTGTAAATATGAGAAGACATGACTATTATTGATGGGTCTCATTTAAAAAGTGTTTCCGACCAAAGTGGGAGGAAAGCGAGAAAGGGAACTTGAATTCATTATGCATAAACACAAATGCTTTTGTCCTTTAAATGTAAAACGGTAAAAAAAAAATCCAAAACTATTATTTGTTCATACTAGAATTTACCAGTGTTTCAACGATTGAGATGATGTCCTTATTGCTCCAATATTAGTGGTAGTGGAGACAACTACAAACACACTTTGATGATCAAGCTAAAGGAGAATTTAGGTTTAAAATGAGATTTAGGTAAAATAATATCTAATGCCCCATATATAGGTGATTGATCTTATCTTTAAGTTTAAAGATAATGTTGTATAATATCTTGGAGATATATTCTGATAATTATGCGAATATATTATTCCTAATTAAGGAAGATATTTTGTGAAATGGGTCTGATTATGATTTTCTAGAAGATATTCATATCAAGATATATCCCACTAGTCATTAAGAGTTAATCATCTAGAGTTTCACTTTATGATGATAGACTGAAGGTCCAATGTGGGTGAGTAGGAGAAGGCCAACTCAACCTAGTTGAGTGGGTACGGTTGATACATTATTCATCTACCTTTTGAAACCTATAGTGAACTATTAACATGAATCTTTTTTTTTATAGCAAAAATTATAATGACAATAATAGGGTTTTAACCTATGATCATGTGAATACTACCTAAACTTCTTACTAGACTAATCTTAGAGACTTGCATTTGAATCTGCCTTCACAAAAGAATAAGTAAATATAAGTAAAATAGAGTTAAACAAACGCCTAATGCAAAAACATTTAATGACAAATTTTCAATGTCGGGTGACATCCACACAACATAGAAAGTGGCCCAATGATATTTTAGTAATTAGGGCAAAATTTTCTATGGCAAGTGTTGATTCACTCATCACAGAATATTCTTTTTGTGTTGGATATATCAACACCCATCATAGAAAATATTGTTCAGGCTTTGACTCTAACCTTTCTATGATGGGTGTTAACTTATCTAACATAGAAAAAAAACGTTAACATTTTAATATGGGTGGATCAACACTCGTCGTATAAAGTGTTCTTATTAGGGTCTAGAGAGTGTGAATTCAGTTCGCGCTCTCTATCATGACTACTCCTATTTATCATCTTCTTCTTTGTTGTTTTGCCAACCAGTGAATTCAATTCACACATAGAAAGTGTGCAAAATCATTGCTAGTGACTCCTCTATCGCTCCCTCCCAACCAAATAAATATTAAATAAATATTAAATGGTTGTATTTGGATGTGTTGTTATTTGAATTTTAGGTGGCTGATATGTCAACTTTTTATGATTTGGAGATTTTAAAATTGTGCATATAAGGTGTTTGGTGAAATGTGTACTTAAATTTGAGGGTTTATTAGGTTTATTTAGGTGGCTAATTTGACTTTCGTGTATGGCTTGTTATGGATCTTTCACTACAAGAAAAATGCAAATTATGGATGATAATTTTTGACGGATACAAATCCGTCAAAACATTTATATTTTC